TGCACGAAGATCACCAGATCACTGGCCGCTGGTGGCCACTATTGCTGCGGCCAAGCACTATGCCGCACCTGGATCTGGGAGGCCGATGCTTGATAGACAAAAGCCTAGCGAACACGCGCGTCAACTCAAGTTTCAACAGGCCTTGGAAAAACTACCGGTGGCACCCTGGACGACAGACAACAATGACCAGGTCGCCGATTTCAATGCCACTGTCAACAGGTGTTCCTCCCAGCTTTTCACAGAAGACAGGTTCTCTGCGAGAGAGCCGTACATGAAGTCAGGTACTATGGCCCTCATCAGGATTCGCAGGTATGTCCGGCGTGCTCAACAGTGCACAGTCAGACATGCACTGGAGCCATTATTTTTGCTCGCAAGACTGCTGCCCAAGCAAGTGCAGATGTTTGTCTATGAGTGTCGTGGAGGAGAAGCTGGCTGCAGCTTGCTTATTTATGGACCAGCGGCAGGCGCACTCAGGCGGTGCTTGCGACGAGATCGCCAGGATTTCCTCGCGCAGACGGCAAAGAAGATCGGCGTGTTCTCTATCCTACATGATGGCCATCATGGGTGGGTCTGGATTCAGAGGTTGTTGAGATTCAATGGCAAGCAGGCGAAGCGGTGTGATAACACGCTGCTGCCACAGCGTTTCATGAAGGACGGCACCCCTGTCACCTCAGAGCTGGAGTGGGCGGCGACGCCTAGGCACCAGTTCGCCCAACTGGAGGACGGCTACGAGTGCTCCGAGGCACAGCTGCGCGACGAGCACAATGATCTCACGATGGCACACACCAGTGGTTTTGTGCGAGACATTGCGGCCATCCCGCCGCCGTCCTGGCTCGCCACGCGCCTCCGAGGGGGCACGGGCACATCAAGCACCTGGCCATGATCTGGTCCAGAATGCCGTTCTCGAAAATGCGCCAGAAGCCGTTCTCCCCCACCTCCAGGCCATCGCGACGAAGACAGGCCTCTTGGTGCAAGAGGCTGCTATTCATACGTCGGGGCTGGCGCGCGGCCTTCGCAAAGGCAAGTTGGGAAGGCTCACTGCAGAAATGTATCGGTCGATGCTGTTTAACTCGGGTGTCACAAAGCATCATCATGCGTTCCTGCGATCAGCGCTCGGGCAGTGTATCAAGTACCTCATGGTCGGTTCTCAGACTGGGGGCATCCAGGGGCGCTGCGCAGGCATGGCATCGCAAATGATTAGAGTATTTCGGCAGATAGCAAAATCAATGCGCTTCATTGCGATTGTACTCTTTGTGGACTTAGTGGCGGCGTTCTACTCCTTGCTACGGAAAGCTTGGATTCCAGTAGCAGGTACTGAACAATATGTGGCACAGGTTATAGACAATGCACCTGCAATTGCTCATCCTTTGTTGGAGATGGTCCTGGCTGCGCCTGCTCTGGTGGGCCACAGAGTGGATCAGCATTTGGTAGCGCAAGTTATGGAAGCCCACAAAGTCACACATTTCCGAGTACCTGGTGATAAACAATGGATAGTTTATCAACGTAGTTCGCGAGCTAGGAACCCCTTGGCCGATTTGTTCTGTAACACGGTGTACGCTCGACCCCTACTTGGTATTAAGCATGACATGAATGAAGCTGGCATTGCCCTCGATCTCATGGACTGCGTGGATCAGTCCAGCCAGGTATTCTCGCAGGGACTTACAATTGGAGGCGACACCATGACAGATGCGACCTTTGTCGACGGTTCAGGGTTCTGTTCGCCTTGTTTTGGTCCAGCGAGTGTGCGCGATCAAGTGGCGACGCTTGGACGTCTTGTCCGCAAGCATATGGTCGGCTCGGGTTTCAAGCTACATGTCGGAAAGAGGAAGACAGCAGCTGTTCTCTCATATTATGGTGAAGGTGCTATTAAGGCGAAGCGGGATATGGCTATGACAGCAGCAGTGGCCCTGGACAGTTTCTCCAACGATCGTATTGCTATTCAGTCTTCCTACAAGCATGTGGGAGGCATATGTACAAGCGACGGCAGCACTGGGCAGGAGGTTTCTCGTAGGCGGCAGAAGTACACTGCTGCACTTAGGCCGCTGCGGTCAGCTGTCATCAATCACGACATTGCCACAAAGGATAAGCTCAAGTACATCGACGCATTGTGCAGTACACATCTTTTCTTCCAGGCGGAGACGTGGGATCCGGTGCCCAACACGAGCCTCACGAAGCTGAACAATTCATTGGTATCTGGCTATAGAGTGGCAACAAAGAAATTGCACATTGCTGTGGCGCGCAATCATACAACAGATGCTGAGGCGCTGGCCATTGCAGGCCGAATGGAGTTCAAGCAGGTGTTGCGATTTCGTAGGCTCCGTTATGTAGCCAGGCTTATTCATGCAGGATCACCGACGTTACGGCTGGTATTGGATGCTACAGTTGGTGCACCTATGTCTTGGGCCTCGATGGTAGCGGATGGTTTTTCCTGGATGCGATGCTATTGTGCCGAAGTCCCCGACGCATCGCCTGATACCGTCGAGGGACTCGCGGAGTGGATAAAGTTTGTTGCCGCCGATTTGAAGAAACTGCACATGCATTTTCGCAGCGCTTGGAGCAATTATCAAACCCAATGCCTGGACCAACATAGGAACGATTTTATGCAGAGAAATATCAACCATGTGTTTCCCGGACTACTGGGTTCAACGGGCATAGATGGACAACAAACAGCCTTCTTCTGCTACGAGTGCAACCAGAGCTTCACAACCATTGCTGGGTATAGGGGCCATTGGACCAGGAAGCACCGACCAGTTGACGCGGCACAACTATTTGCAGATGGAACCGACTGTCTCTGGTGCGGGGCGGGCTTCTCTGAGCGAGCAGGACTGGTGCGGCACCTGCGGAGGCCTTATGGTGCTTGCCTCACATACCTCCTGGCGTCCGCTGCACCACTGGAAGCAGAGGCTGTTGCTGAGTGGCAGAGGCATGACCAAGAGATTGCAGCGGACAAACGGAAACAAGGACTCAGGTCAAATGCTCCGCTTCGCCCTGCGATCCCTGGTGTACGACAGGCAGCTGTACCTGATGAGAGACCTCTACCGCCACGTGTCCAGTGGGTTTCTGAGCTGCAGCCGCTGCCCATCAGCCCCCTGGCACAGCGGACCTATACATATATTTTACACCTGGGATGGCCCCCCAGACTGGAGGAGGATTTCGGCGATATCATGAGCAGAGATACTGGTGTTTTCAATATGGCTGTATTATATATCGATTGCAACGACCCATCACATTCTCAGAATTTGGAGGATTCAAGTTTCTTGGATAAAATGATCTCAAGGATTCAAACGGGTGTAGTGCTTGGAGTTCTTGTTACACCGCCGACGGCATCGTGGACGGCAATGCAGGGCTCGACCAGTGCCAGGAGCTCACCAGTTCGACCGCATGACAAGCCTTGGGGAGCGGACATGCTCAGCAAGTACTGGGCTACGACGCTGCGCAGAGAGAACGCTGGGATCAGGGCAGGTATCCTGTTTCTGGCGTCTGCTGCTGCTGTGGGTGCTGCTGCGTTGCTCCTGCACACGGCCCCTGTGGCCGATCGGGCAGCCGCCCTCTGGAGACTTGATGTGGTGCGAGCATTGGCGGACAGGCCCGAAGCCACGATGACCACTTTCGACATGGCCGACCTCGGAGGTTTGCAGAGCGAGTTTGGTCAGGTGCTGGCCGTCAATTGCCAGCAGTTCTCCGAGACCATGCATCAGCGAGGCCTGGTGTCGCAGCCTGCTGCATGTGTGACCAGCCGCAGATTGGAGCTGTTCGGCGAGGCATTCCTGGTCGCGCAGCCTGCGCTTCGCAGTGGTGGCACTCAACGGTGGCCACAAGACTGCGAGCTCTTCGACCTCCTCGTCCCGCCTGAGAGGTACCCTGAGGCGAACTCGCAGGAGGATGAGGAAACTGAATGGGCGCTGGTCGAGGGTTCCTTCCTCTCGTGCGGGCCTCTGCCGCACTCCGAGGGAGCAGGCTGAGGCCAGCCAGCTTGCGGCTGCGGCCAACTGTGGCCGTCGGCCGCCGCCCCGCGGCTCTCTGGCGAGATCGCGGGCGTGGAGGCGCAGCTGGGAGGGCGTCGCCATCTCGGCCACGTCCATAGTGCGCGCCTGGCGGTGGGCCCGCACAGGGAGTTCGTCATCGACCAGGACTTTGTCTGCATGCGTGGACTCCGCGGGGGCGCGCCCCCCCCTGGGATGGGAGAGAGAGAGAGAGAGAGAGAGAGAGGAGGAGGAGGAGGGGAAAAGGAGGAGGAGGAGAGGAAAAGGAGGAGGAGGAGGAGGAAGAGGAAGAGGATGAACTCCGCGGGTCGGATCGGATCGGCTCGGGCCGCGAGTCCTCCTGTACAGTCAGCCCGTATCATCAGGATCCACGATGAGGACGCGAGGGCCTCGGGAGGCGGTGTTGGCACTTTGCGGGCGGGGCGCGGCCAACGAAAGCGACCAGGGATGGACCGAGGAGGCAAGGATGCCAGGGTACTCTCGGGAAGGTTGCCCAACCTCATTGCGCGGGTGAACTGACTTTCCTCTGCGAGCAGCCAGGGACCCACGGTGGCGGTGCGCAACGGCGATGACGCTCGAGAGCAACATGCAAGACAATCGACAGGGGAAACAATCCCTCCTCCGCTTCCCGCCCCGCCCCCATACCACCCCCCCCCCCGCCTTTCCCTGTCCCCCCCCCCCCCCGGCCTTCCCCTGCTCAACCGCCCTGCCTATACGTCCCTCCCCACCGTCTCCTCCTCCTCCCACTTCTCCCCTGAACTGCCCTGGTACGCAACTAGCGACACGCAGCGTATTTACACGGAGCTCAACACGTAGACAGAACACGTAGTTCTGACGCGATACGTTCGCCAAAATGTGGGCCAATACGCTGAGCCAACACGCAGCGTCTTCACACGGACGTTTTGAATACGGCACGTGCTGCGTTTCAAAACGGGCGTCTCAGGGCAGTTAAGCTTCTCCTCCACCCCCCTTCCCCAGACCTCCAGCCAGATTTTGCTCTTCGACCGTGGGGGCCAGCTACCATTGTCCCACGGCCCCCTCGCCCCTCCGCTGCAGCTTGTCCAGGCGCTCGATCAGCGAGTTCACCTCCGGTGGGCGAGAGGGAGGACCAGCAGGAGGATAAACAAAATGACAAACTACGAACGAACAAAACAAATTGGATGCTCTGCTTCTGGATTTCTGTTCACTCCGAGCATGCACCCGGCCTACATTGCCGCACCTGGCATGGAGTTCAAAAACATCTTGATCCAACTTGGAAACTTGCCCGTGCGCTCCTGCTGCCAGAAAAGGGCAGATCACATACGGCGAATCTATTCACACCCAGTCTGGCGCGCGGTCCCGTGAGTCGGCGGTCACATGGACACGCTCCGCGCGGGACATCCGCGACAAAAACGCCGCGCATCCATGGGGTCGCGGCCCCGGGGGGCCCAGCCTACGAGCTCTTGGACATGACTACGGTCCGCAGAAGGGATCGCCAACCTCATCAATTGGGTGAGCCTTCCTGGGGGCCTCTGTGGACCTCCGCGGACCTGGCAAAAACGTGATGTCGGCCGGATTTCGTCAAGATTTCGACCACCCGTCAAGATGCCGTTCAGATGTCGTCCAGGTGTCGCTCAGGTGTCGACCAAATCCGACAACCCCCCCCCCAAAAAAAAGCGCAAGGAACTGTGGGGCCCCGTCCGGGCCCCCACGAAGGGCCACGAAGGGCCGATCGTGAAACTGCCGTTCCAATGTCGTCCAGGTGTCGCTCAGGCGTCGACCACATCCGACAACACCCCCCCAAACAGCGCAAGGAGCTGTGGGGGCCTCCCGGAAAGGTGCGGTGACAGGCCGTGCGGTGACCTCGAAACCCCCCAAGACCTCACCGCACGGTCCGTCACCGCACGGCCTTGGGACCCTGGAGCCCCCCGGTCGCCCGAGACCTCCTCGGAGAACGGCCCCAGTCCCGAGACCGTGCGGTGACCCCGAATCCCCACCGACTCGCCGCACGGTGTGGTCACCGCCCCGTCTGGGGACCCCCGAGTGATGCTGCTCCCCCCCCAGACCTCTCCCGGGGTGCGCTCTGGCACGGATTGCGAGGATCATCCGGCCGCGGCGACGAGGGCCCTCCAGGCTCCGAGGGGGGGGGAGGGAGGCCGGGGAGGGCAGGGAGGAGGGGGAGGGGAGGGGAGGAAAGGAGGGGAGGGAGTAAGGGGAAAGAGGGAGGAGGGGGAGGGGAGGAGGGAGGGAGGGAGAGGGAGAGGAGGGGAGGGGGGGAGGGAGGAGGGGAGAGGGAGGAGGGGTCACCACCCTGCTTGGGGGCCCCCGAGGCCCCCTCGGGCCCCCGCGAAGAGGCCACGCAGCCCCGGAGTGCGGGCAGGCGGCGGCGGCCCGGCGCCTCCGACATGGCGCCCCCATCCTCGGCCTGCAGCGAGCCGCGAGGCAGCTCCAGCAGCAG